CCCCCGTCTCCTTTCCTCAGGCGGCACCCCTCCCCTCCTCTCATACTGCAGGGATCCTAGAAACTGGATCTGTAAGCATGACAGAACTACTCGCGAACGAAGAGTGCACGGGCCCCGAGTGCGAGCTCAGAGAGCCTTGGGACGGCAGTACAGTTAGTTTGGAAGCTCCGGGGTTCCTCCCCTAGCCACCCGGGGACAAGTTTTGGTCGGGCCGTGCTTCCTGGACTCTCTGGCTGAGGGGAATCCTCTTCCAAGCAGACGGAAGACATGACAGCAGCTCTTCCAGCCTCCATACCCAGACTCTATCCAGCTGGTTCCTCTCAAAGCCACCGTCTCCTTGGAGCCTCCACCAACCCGAGGAAGCAGACAGGGGCTGAGCTATTAACCTTGTAAATGGGGAAACTGAGGCCCCGAAAGGGGTCCTTCCCTGTGCTGGGTCAGGATATGGCCCTCTGCTCTGCTCTGCTCTGCTCCCCCCGGGGCTGGACCAGAGGCGGGACACTCACCTATGCACCAGCTCCAGCTCCTCCTCAGTGGCCTCGCGGGCTGGCAGCCGCACACACCTCTGTGCCAGTCCCCGATGACAAAGCCGGGCATACGTGGCTGTCAGGCGCTCTGGTCCCTCAATGGCACACTCCGGGCTGGGGGGGGGGGGTTGGCGTACGTCAGGGTCAGCAGGGACATGTGGATCCCAGCCCTGACTCCGCCAGTCTCCCCGAGGGGACGGTGCAAGCCTTGAACCAGAGGCCTTGGATTCAAATCCTGGCCATGCCACCGACCGGCTCTGTGTCCCTGGCTAGGTCACTGCCCTCTCTGGGCCTCAGGGGCTTAGATTTGAGGCTCTCTAAGTAATGTTATCCAAGGGACGGGTCCTAGATTCATTCAATTAAGAGCTGAGAGGGATCACAGAGACCAGCAAGTCTAGCCCTGCCATTTGGGGAAACCGAGGCAAAGTGAGGTGGGGACAAGATCAGAATGCTCCCAGGCCACAGCTCCGTCACCCCGGCACTGCCAGACACGGATCCGGGGCCCCTAAAAGCTCATTCCAAAGAGCACCAGAGGCAGTCTCTGAATTACTGTATCCATGGCACTGCCCCCTCCCAACAAACGAAGGGGAAAGACAGAAAGCGGGGGCCCTTACTCGTCCCAGAGCAGTCGGACCCGGGTCATGTCCTCATCGTAGACCAGGGCTGTGGCCTGGGGCCCTGGGGGCCTGCTCTCAGCCATCCCGGGGCCTGCTGGGAGGAGAGCAGAAGGCACTTTCTCCCTGGGCCCATGCCCCCTTGCCCCTCGGCACCTTTCACCACTCTCCCTCCTTCTCCGTCTCTGCCGGCCCCTCATCCGTGTCACTCCCCCTAACTCTGGGCATCCCCAAGGCCCAATCCTGGGCTCTTCTCTCCCTGCTACCCCCCCCCACCTCATCAGCGCCCATGGGTGCAAGGATCATCTCTACGCACTGATAGATTCTGCTAGCCTTGCCTTCAGACTTGTGTCCTGTACTGACAAGCTCCTGCCGGCTGAACCCCAGCCCACCTCCGAGCCTTTGAACCGTCCTGAGGACCTTCCCTCCCTCAGCTCCACCTTACAAGCGGAGTCAGTTCTCCCAGAGATTGTGGGCTGGGATCCCCACCCTCCACCCTGGGGAGAAGTGTTTCCTGCCTCCCCACTCTCCCCATGCCTGGGTCCTCCATTTTCCCACCCCCACCCCCAGACTGGGCGCTTCCCCAAGGCTGGGTCGCCCCTATCCTCATCCCAACAAGCTTCAGGGAGCCCGGCTGTGCCATGGAAGCTTCCCTCCATTTTACAGAGAGGGAAACCGAAGGTCCAACAAAGAGCCCGGAGGGGCCCCACAGCCCGGGCATGCACAGGAGGGATGGAGGGATGGAGGGATGGAGGGATGGAGGGATAGATGCGGACAGGGCCTGGGGCTGGGGGGGCAGCAGATCCAGCCGGAAGGTCCTCCCTCCTCCCTCACACACTCTGCCAGGGGAGCGATCGCAGCCCGCCAACGACCTCGGGCAGCGGACGACCTCAGGCGCCGGGTTCTCGCGGCCTCCCGCCTCCCCCGCATCAGCGCGCAAGAAGAACCGAACGGGATGAGACGCGAAGGACGAGGCTCCGGCCTCCGAGTGGGCTCCCCGAGCACCCACGCAGCCGGCCAGCCGCCACGCGGGACACCTCTTCCGGATGCTTGTGCTACGGCCCGACCCCCCTCAGGCCACGCCCCCCGATGCCTGGCCACGCCCCCCGGTGCCTGGCCACGCCCCCGGGTCCTGGCCCTGGCCCTGGCCCTGGCCCGCCCCGGCCGGGCTCCCCGCGGGGTGGCCGGTTACTTCGCTGAGGCATCGGGGCTTACCGCAGCTGGGCCCCCCCTGCAGCCCTTCTTGCCAGCCCGTGCCCCCCGAGCGGGGAGAAGCCTGAGCGTCCGGGGCCCCCGGCCAGACCCGGAGCCTCCGCTGAGCCAAGAGAGGCCGGAATTCTGCCCCTGCCCTCTGTCCTCCCGGGCTGGGCAAGCACGCAAACCCCATCCACGGCCCACTGAGTGCTCCTAAGTCCTGCCTTCGCTTGAGAACTCCTAGATGGGGAACTCGCCGTGTCCCGCTCAGCCCGTCCCGCTTTGGGACCCCGGGAGTCACCCCTAGGAAGGACTGCCCGCCACGGATCTTCCTTCTGTCCATGGTACCCTTCCCGCGGCGGCTCCTGGTTCTGCTCGCTGGGGTCGAGCGGAGCCAGGCGGTGCCTCTTCCCAGGAGCTTCTGAGACGGGATTTTGGAGATATGCTGGGAGGCCCAAAGGCTCCCCGAGGCTGCCAGGGGCTCTGACCTGTGCCCGCCGGTCCGGTTCGTGCTCCCCTTCCCCCTCCCAGGACCAGTTTCGTCCTCCCTAAAATGAGACAATTCTCTGCCCTATGAATTCCCCTTGTTCAAAGAACAAATCTAAGGCCAGTCTCCCCCCAACACACGCACACATACACACTCACACACACACACCACACACACACACCACACACATACACTGCACACACCGCACACTCACGTATACACACATATTTACATACACTCACACCACACACACTGCACACTCACACATATCCACACATATCCACATACACTCACACACTCTCCAGGATCCTAGGATGGCCGCCTGGGCTGGAAACTCTGGGAAGCTGCTTGTGCTGGCTGGGGCTGCCTGAGGGGAGATCCAGAGAAACCTTCCAGCTCAAGAAATGCCAGTGACTCCCTATTGCCTCCAGAATCACATAAAAAGAGCTGTGTTTGGCATTCAAAGCCTTTTACAACCTAGCCCCTCCTACCTTTCCAGTCTTCTTCCATATTACTCCCCTCATGTCAGGTACTCTTCATGAACACATGTCATCTTTCTGGGCAGGGCATTCTCTCTGGTTGCTGCTGCTCATGCTGGGACTGCGATCTCTCCTTCCCTTCACCTACTGAGCTCCCTGGCTTCCTCTATGTCCCAACTCAAATCCTCCCTTCTGCTGGAGGCCTTCCCCCACCCCTCTTAATTCCAGTTCTTCTATTAATTATCTCCTATTTATATGGCTTGCTTTGTACATACCCGTTGGCAGATTGTCTCACTCTTCAGATTGTAAGCTCCTTGAGGGCAGGGGCTGTCTCTTCACTCTCTTTGTATCCCCAGTTTAGCACAGCGCCTGGCACATAGTCGGTGTTTCATAAATGTTTATTGACTGATTGATGGAGTGATGTCAAGCAAAGAACGTCAAGGCTGAAGGTGCTGTCCAGAAGGCCGCTAACAACATAAGTAAAGCCCACACGGGGGCGCACTAGAGCTGAGGAGCCAGTGGTGTTAAGGGCAGCCCACAAGCCCAGCCTTCCTTCCTGCTGACAATGACAGAGCCTACCGTAGGAGGCCCAGCCGACCTATTATTAGTAATCGCCATCAGACAGTTCTGCCCAATGTATTCTTTTGGTGTGATATCCTTTGCAGGGACATCTATCCCACGCTTTAGGGCAGGCTTAGAGATCCTGAAACGCCAGTGACAGGGGCTGGAGGCTAAGATTTGGTCTTTGGTGTGTCTGAAGACCCAGGCTGATGCTGACCCCCACAGCCTCCCTCTGACGCACTGACCGACCCCTGGGGGTGTTGGACGGCGGTTGTTAGCCCCATTTACAGATGGGTAGACGAGAGGCAGAGCCTGGGGACCTGAATTTGAGCCCCCATTCTGTCAATGACTTCGCCAATGACCTTGGGACGGTCACTTGCTCCCCCTCTATCGAGTAAAGGGGTTGGCCTAAATCAGTTTGGATAAAGCCATAATGAGGGTTGGGTGACAAGGCGCCGCCTTCACAGCTAACATTGATGGGATGCTTTATGGTTTACCAAATGCTTTCCATTGCGTTACACTACCAAATACTCCTTGTAGCCTTACCACCGCCCTGGGAGCAGGTGCCATTATTATCCCCATTTTACGGAAGAAGAAACCGAGGCAGTCAGAGGTGAAGTGACTTGCCCAGGGCCCCACAGCTGGCAGGTGCTGGAGGCCACACTTGAGCTCAAGTCCATGGATCTTTCCACTGGGGTCACCCAAGTCAACTGAGGAGCTCAACGCTTGTCTTCTTTTAGGGCCTAGAAAGAACCAAGAGGCCAAGTAGTATAGCGGTATAGTTTACCAGCAGAAAGGCCCGGGTTCAGATCTTGCCTCCCAAAGTAGAATGGAATGGCAGAAAGGACGGGAGGGTTAGGGGGTTCCCCTCCCCATTGGAGCTCTTCATTTAGAGGCTGAAAGATCACCTATTGGGGAAGGGGGATGGTTTCCTTACTAGCTGTGTGACCCTGGATAAATCACTTAACTCCTGTCTTGGTGCAGCATATAGAGCACTAAAGACTCTTCTTCCTGAGTTCAAATCTGGCCTCAGACATTTACTAGCTATGTGAGCCCGGGTAAGTCATTTCACCTTGTTTGCCTCAGTTTCCTCATCTCTAAAATGAGCTAGAGAAGGAAAGGACAAACCACTTCAGTATCTCTGCCAAGAAAACCCCAGATGGGGTCATGAAGAGTCAGACAGAACTGAAATAACTCCACAACAAAAAGTAAGAATGAGACCAGATAGGAAGCTACTAGATGGGTGGCACACTGGAGAGTAAACACTTCCCAGGCACTCCCATAGCCCAGCAGTACTCTCCTGGGTGAGAGCCATGGAGAGACATGGGAGAAAGGGTCATCTAGTCCAATGCACACCCTAAAGCCAATCCCCCTCCCCAACAGGTGGTCTCCCAGCCTCTGACTGAAGCCCTCCGATGAGGGGAGGAGGCCCCTATTCCTCCCATCCACTTCCAGCCAGCCTATTCTACTTTGGGACAGCTGGGAAGGCTTCCCTGACCTCAAACCTCAATCAGCCTCCTTGTCACTTCTGCTCCATGGGGCCAGGCTGAACAAGGCTGCTCCTTGTTATGCCTGACAGCCTTTCAAGGACTCAAAGCCAACAACATCCCCCATGAGCCTTCTCTTCCCCAGGGCTCTCCCCTCCAGCCTCCGGAGGCATTGAATTCTCTCAGCCACAGCTGAATTCAGCTGAATTTTCAGCTGAAAAAGTAGCTTTGAAAAGCATTCTATTCTCAGGTCCTACAGGAGCTTAGTTTGCCAGCCACAGCTCTGGTCTCTGGAGGCTCTTGTAATCCTGATGTCGCATGGTTCCAGGAGTCTAGAATTTGGCCTGACCCCTGGCTAGATGCTAACTCCAACCCTGAACCCAGACAGACCCTGTTCCCTTCCACCCAGTCTTAGCACCTGTCCAAACTCGAGCCCAGAGCTCAGCCTCCTGAATGGAAGCTACTAGCCCTGGGGAGGGGCCACAAGCTGCAGAGTCCTCAGGGCTGGGTTCTAGGTTCTAAATTCTCAGCTCCGGCTTGTAGGGGCTCAATGTGGGCCTCCCCAATCCCTTCTGAGTTACAGAAGTGACCTCAATCCCACTCTCACAGGATAGGGACCCCTCTTCCTGGCCCTCTCCCAGTAGGAGGCCTTCGGGGGCCATCTGACCCACCCTGGCCCCCTCAATAATTAGGCTGGAACAAGAAGGATACTTTGTTTTGGGGGGGCATGTAGAAGCAAGACCCTCCCTCCCCCCAAAGCCCAGGACCGTTAGAAAGCATTTGTTTATTCTTGCCAGGAGTGTTTATTTACATATGGGGGTGAGGAGGGCTATTGTCCCTGAGTCAACTGCCCACCGCAGCCCTATGGGGTCCCTCCCAGCTCGAGCTCCACAGACATCTGGGGGGCAGGGGGTGAATGAAGAAAAGAGGCCTGGACATCATAGCTGGACGTCCAAGCTTCCCCCGCCATGAGACAGGGCAGCGATCACCAGCAGCAACCCGAGATCAGAGTCAGGGTCCAAGGCTTCTGTTGGGGTGTTTGGACCAAGGAGGGGCTGCAGGCTAGCAGGGTTCCTCTCCAAATCATCTGGGGGGCCTGCCTGCCCCTCCCCTTACTGATGAGTGACTCCCCTCTCCTAACAGGCCCTCGGCCTCAAAATGGGGGTGGGGGAATTCTAGCCCCGAGGGAGGGACACAGCTCACCCCAAGAGATCCCTGCCCCCAATCCCAGAGTCACTGTTGGGGTCACTGCCAGCTGAGCCCTTCCAGAGTCATCCCAGGAGGCGCTCACTGCCGGCTCCTCACCCCCAGTTAGGAGTCACCATAAGAGTCCCTACTGGCCTGAATTTGAGGGACCCCTCTTTCCATCTCAGCATCTGGTCATAGAGATGTCTCCTTCGAATCCAGGAGCCGAGGAGGCTTAAAGCTGAGAACTTCTTTGTACGTGACTCCTGGACAAAGAGAGATGAGAGGGAGGGAGGGAAGGAGGGAGGAGGGAAGAGGGAGAAGGGAGGGAGGAGGGAGGAAGACAGAGACAGAAAGAGTTTGAGGGAAATGGGGTGAAGTACAGGAATGATGGAGAGAGGGAGAGAGAAGGACATGAAAAAGACAGAGAAGGGCATAAGAGATGATGAGAAAGGAAGGAAAGAAGGAAGGAAGAAGGGAGGGAAAGAGGGAGGCAGGGAAAGAAAGAAGGAGGGAGGGAGGGAAGGAAGGGAAAAGAGGAAGGAGGGAGGGAGGGAAGGAAGGAAGAAAGAATGAAAGAACGAAGGAAGAAAAGAGAGACAGAAACAGGGAGGATGTAAGGGACAGAGGAAGGGATGGATTTAAGGTTGAGATAGGTAAACAGAGGCAAGGGAGGGGTGGGCCAGAAGAGATGGGCTGAGAGGTCCCGGGCCGGGAGCGGAAGGGTAGCATTGCTTTAGCCAGCCCTCCACCGCCCAGTTCCATCCCCTCCTCCATGGCTGGGCTGGGGCGTGGGAGGACGGGACTCACGCTTCCACTCTTCCAGGGTCCGGTCGACGTCATCAAAGGAGTCGTCATACAGCTGGGCCTGCGGCTCCTCCTCAGACTCATGCACAGTCTCAAAGTATGGGTGAGTCAGCGCCTCGGCGGCCGTCACTCGCTTCTCTGCGTCCAGCACCAACATCTGCTCCAGCAGATTCACAGCTGGGGAGGGGGGCAGAAGGAAGTGTTGGGGGCCCTGGGGTAGCACACCCAACTTCTGACCAAGGGCTGACACCCGAGAACCACAACCGGCTGCCCACCCCAACGGAGGCAAGGATGCAGCCCCACTGATAACCAACAGAAATCCCCAAGCCCCAGATAATAACCCTCAAACGTCGGCTCACGCCAAACAAGCATCAGATAACTCTCAAAGCCTGCACAGCTCCACACACTAGAGCCCGTCTTCTCCTCTCTCCAAGCCTTTGCCCTGGCTCTGCCCCCTGCCTGGAATGCTTTCCCTCCTCACTTCTCTCTTAGGCTCCCTTCAAGCCCAGCCCAAGCACCACCTTGGACAGGAAGGAGGCCTTTCCAGTGCTGCGTCTGCCCCATCAGATGCTGGAGCCTTCCCTTCTCAGATCACCTTCCAGCTAGTCTGTATCTGACAACTGATCTATTAAGAAGGCAGTGGACAGAATCGGCCTCAATGCCAGGAAGACCTTTGTCTGACTGGGAAGCTCACTACAGTGACCCGGGCGGAATCACTTAACTGCTCTCAGGCTATTAGTGGGAGAAGGAGTGCTGACCTGCAGTGGTGGAGGGAGTTTCCTCCCCTGGGAGTTCCCTATGACAGTGAAATCACTGGGCCCCTAAACCTATGCACCTAGTTACGTCCATTGCCATGGAAGCTTCTAGAGGGCAGGAACCACGATTTTGCATCTGGCATACAGTAGGCACTGAATTAGTGCTTGTTGATTGACGTTATGAAATTGAGGGTTACCAAAAAAAGTCGCGGACGCTAGGCAGCCCTGGCTGTCGCCAGACTCCCTTACCCAAGGGGGTGGCGTTCTTCAGGACAGAAGCAAAGTCCTTCTTCTTCAGCTCCGGGAGACTTTCCATGTAGCTCTTTGCCTGCATGAAGCAAACCTTAGCCCCAGGTCCCGTCTCCCTTCGGGCCACAGGCTCCCCAGGGGCTTCCCGAATCCAGTCCCATTTAACAAGCTGGGCCTGGCTGCCTGAGGGCCCCCACTCCTCCGGCCTCCCCCTGGCACCCCCAAGGACACTCACATCCTGACTCTGAAGCCTCTGTACAAACTCTGGGGGAGGAGTTCCTGTCACCTTCATGATCTCCATCAGCTGGTCCAGGTCTGCCCAGGCAGGGCCGTGTCAAGGAGGGCAGCTCTCGGTCAGGCCCTGCCCACCCCCCACAAGCCGCTCAGGCAGGTAGAGGAACCCCCGCAGGGCTGCCAGAGCTGGAGCATTTGAGGTCCAGGAGCATGGGTCACTCAGGTGTATCCTCTTCTGCTTTATCTGATCCTGGGGGCTAGTCGCTGCTTTGGGGGGATCTACTTTTTAAATGTTCTCCACTTTTTAAGGGGCTTCATTGGTGTAGCATTAGAAAAACACCCAGTGTGGAAAGCCCCTCCATCAGGCAGACTGCTAACTCAGCTGCACCTTTTCTCTTAGGGAATTCAGTGAGATGTAACATGACTCACTCAGGGTCACACAGCAGGATTTGAACCTGGATCTTACTGACTATAAGTTCACTACAGCGTACTGGTTTTCAATATTCACTCATTTGGGGCTACACTTTTTAAAAAACCTGTTTAGGGATGATCTGTGATGGGGTGGGTTAGGGTTGTTTTTCTGTATTTTAAGCTCGGGGGTTAGCCACTGGTTCTGGGTGCCGACTTGGGGAGCTTTCTGGTTGTCATGGAGAAAGCCAGAACCTAACGGCTCTCCCTCCCCTCCCAACCTCCCCCCTCCTGTCCCACCCCCACAGCCCCCAGAGGATACGATCGCTGCCTTTGAAAAGGATCTTCCCGGTGATCATTTCTGCCATGATGCAGCCCACAGACCAGATATCCACTGAAACAGGGCCCCGCCACGTCAGGCTGGCAGGGGAGGGAGAGCGGGAACCTCGCCCACACTGCCCTTGGCACCCCACACCATTTCCTGCCACCCTAGGTACCAGGCTGCTGCTGCCCAGGGACTCAGTTCCTCCAGGAAGTCTGTCCTGATTCCAGCCCCTCCCACCTTAGGCCAGCAACCCTTCCCTCTCCCAGGGTTCACCTCCCTTTCATTCAATCCACAATCCAGCCTCCAGGCTCAGCTTAAAAGTCACTTCCCCCAGGAAGTTTGCCCTGATTTAGGCCCTGATCATCACCTGCTTAGGGGCAGCCCAGGGCTCTCTGAGGTCAGAGGGTCAGAGGCCCTCTCACTTCTGTCAGGCCTGGGGGGGCCTGGGCGGTTCTCTACCTGTCTGTGTGTAATGCATCCAGTTAAGGATGACCTCAGGCGCCCGGTACCATCTGGTCACCACATAGCCCGTCATCTCACTGTCTGTCTGTCTGGCCAGGCCAAAGTCCAGAATCTGCAGGACAGAGACCCTGGGAAGTGGGGGCGGGAGACGTTCCCACGGCAGCACAGCCACCTTGGGTCAGGACTGGCGGTCATCTCCCGTGTGTGCAGCCTCTGTTAGGCTGGTCTAGCCAGGTGACCTTTCCCCATTTGGGGAAGATGAGATGGGGGAGCAGAGTGGACAAAGACCAGTCTTGGTAGGGGGTCTCACCCTGCCCTCTTGTTCTCAGACAGCTTTACTCCCAACCCCCTCCGCCCAGCCGCACCCCTCACCTTCAGCTCACAATCCTCATTCACGGCCAGGTTACCAGGTTTGAGATCCTGGGGAAGGAAAACCCAGCTGCCATCCCATCATCCCCTGTGCCAAAGCCTGCGATGCCCCTCCCACTTAATTGAAGGACACACCCGGTGTTCAAGGCCTCTCCTGTCCAATCCCACCCTCATCTCCCCAGTCCCTCTCCCTAAGCCTTCCTTATCCCTCAAAGCCCAGCTCAAACCATGTCCCCCGAGGTACCCTCCCTGATCACCTCAGCCCATGCCAAAGGTGGCAGTCATGGTGTGGGGAGAGCAGCGTGGAGCAAAGAGAAGGGGAGACTGCCCAGGGCTGGGAGGTGGGAGATCAGGGTCCTTGCCCCAGCTGCTCCCATGTCTCACTAAACTGCCCCATCCCCCAGGCTGGGGCCACAAGTGAAGAGGGTGACTCACCCTGTGGACGATGCCAGCGGCATGGATGTACTACAGGGGAGAGAGAGGCATGCAGTCAGTGATGTCTGTGAGGCTGAGACAGCCCTCAGAGGAGGGAGGGGAGAGCCCCCAGCCTGCCCCAGACCCCTTCCCCCCTTTATGGGCACAGAGACCCCAGCCAGCTCCCCCTCTGGTGACCTCCTGCCCAGCTGCTTCCGACACTCCCCTGGGATCAGCCTGGTCATGGCGGGCATAGGGGGCTCAGCGGAGCAACGGGCCCACGGGCATCTGCAGGATGGGTCGTGAGGGTCTCATCACATCACTAGGGACGGACCTTGAGGCCTCGAAGGATCTGGTAGACCAAGAATTGGATCCGGTCGTCACTAAGCTTCTCATGTTTCATCAGCTTGCTGAGGTCTGTGCCCATGAACGGCATAACCAGGTAACTGCCGGAGGAGAGGGGCCCGGTCACTTCCCCCGTGCCACTGGCCGTGCCAAGGAAGGGAGGGACACAGCCTTAGGCCTCAGTGGATGACGCCCCCCTCTCCCACGATTCAAATGCACTAGGAAGCGCAACTAGGAAGGGAAAGGGGGCATCGGCTGCTCTGCTGGACAGGCCAGTGAGGCTGAGGGGCTGAGGCAGGATGGGCAGGGGGCTGCTCTTCCCTGAGGCACTTTTCTTACCTCGATCACTCAAGGAACCTCCCCCTCCCAGGGGCCCAGTGGAGATAGAAGGGGGACCACCTGACCCTGCCCTGAGGGAGAAGAGAGAATCCAGACTGTGGTGGGCCTCAAATGCCAGACTGAGCAGTCTGTATTTTATCCTGGAAGTGCTGGGGAGAAATGGAAGGTTTCTGAAGACTAGGGTAACCTGGTGAGTTCTGGGCCTCATGAAGGCTGTCTTCACAGCTGTGATGTAGAGGGGTTAAACTACCAGTGCCTGAGCTGCAGAGGACTGCAGTGCCCGAACGTGGCTGGGTCAGTTGGCCCTAGATGCGAGGGTCCGGCCTCCTTGTCTGGCTGGGCGCAAAGCCTCATGGCCCCGGGTTCTGAGGACTACCTGTCCATCTGGCTGTCCCTTTCTGGAGAGAGGCACCCAGCTGGGAGCAAGGATATCTCCAGGCCCATTCTCCCCAGCCAGACAAGGATGAGGCCCCAGCGTGTGGACGGGCCAGGACCCAAAGGCCACTTGGCTCTCCACGAGCGTCTGTCTCTGAAGTTTGTATCCACCTCAATAATCCTGGCAGTTAGCTTATGGCGGCTGTGAAAACCTCTTGAAACCTAAACAGGGCTACTATAGGGAAGACAGATCAGAGACGGGGGAGTCTGGAGACGTTTGTAAAGAGCCTGGTACGTAACAGGTGCCACAGAAAAGCTAGGCGCTCTTAGTCTTATCAATAATCACACTATAGTCGACGCGGGGGGACCAGTGGGTGGCTGCTCCCATAGGCCAGGAGGGAGCCAAGGAGGGGCTGAGTGGAGAGAAGGGGATGATGTGAGAGAGGTTGGTGCCCCCCACCCCCAACCCCCCCAAATTTCCAGCCAAACCGGCCTCCTTTTTGGCACCTGCTGTGCCCTGACTCTCACACCTCTCTTTTCCCAAATGCCTGAAACACATCTCTGCCTGTGGAAACCCTTTCCTCCCTCCAGGACTTCTGGCTGGTCCCCCCCCCATTACCCCAGAGGTGAAAGTTTCCCTCCCCTTCAAATTTTCTTGGAGCAAAATGTCTCATATTTCCTTTGCTCCGCCCCGCCCTTGTCTGATACTTGGCTGGTTCATGTTGCTTTCCCCATCAGGCCACAAGTGCCTCAGGGGCCTGGGTGGTGCCCTTCCTCACCCGGGTATTCCCAGGCCCCCCAGCTGTATGTAGGAGGTGTTTAATAAATGCGGAATTCAGTGGAAGTGACATGAGAGCTGTCATAGATGTAGGGGAAAGGAGAGAAAGGAAAGAGGGAGAGCTGATTTTGAGGTCTCAGGCCTGGGGCCTGGGAGGATGGCGGGAGGGTCCTCAACAGAATGCAAAGTCAGAAGAAGCAACAGCATTTGGGCAGGGGGTGGAGAAGGGGAGATGATGACCTTAACTCGGGCAATGAGCTGGTGGAGACGGGCCCAAGGCTCTCGGAGTCCCTTGTAGGGAGGAGGCTGATGGGCTAGTGTACCGCCAAGAGAAGATCAAAGATGGCACCGGGAGATGTGGGTTCTAGTCCTGGCTCCATGGCTCCCTCTCTACGAGACCTTGGAAAAGCCCCTTCCCCTCTGAGCTTTCTTCACCTGTAAAATTTGTGGGGGGATGATGCCATAGGTACCTTCTACCTCCTAAGGAAGAGAACGGGGGTACAAAGGAAGTCATGAAGACGAGCCTTGAAGGACGCCCCCACAATGGAGGAGGGCCCAGCAGGGGACACGGATGGCAAGGTCTGCCAAGGACCTCAGGGGAGTCAGTGGGGGACAGCTGGCCCCCATCAAAAACTGCAGAGAGGTCAAGGAGGATGAGGTCTGAGAACGGGCCCCTGAGGGGTTGCAGTTCAGAAGTCACTGGAGTTCCGGGGCTAGGGATGAAGAGAGTTGGAGAGGGGTGGGTGGTGCTGAGGAAGCGGAGGCTCCTAGCGAGAGGCCAGGAGACAGGACTGTCACCCAGCTCTCTTCCCCGCCCCACCCGGCCCAGCCCAGGCTTGGCGGGCAAAGGTTACCACAGCTCCAGTTACAACCCTCATTTTTCATCTCATGTCACACTCCCTCCTGGTCATTAACCACCTGGGCTCAGGGGTCACCCCCTTGGGCCACAAGGCCCAGGACAGTGCCCAGATAGCAGAGAGGTGACCTCAGTGAGGGGCGGAGCAGGGGGCCGCTCCTGGGAGGAAGTCTCTCCCAGCTAGCTGAAAGCTCTCTCCCATAACTCCCCCCAGGGCTCCTGGGCCTGCCCTCTGGGGCGAACAAAATCAATCCAGCCTCTCTGACTCAGGACAAAAGCCAGGAATCTCCCTGCCAAGAGCCTCCCCAGGCTGCCTCAATCTACACCGAGTAGCCGCTGCCTCCGGGCCTCCAGGGAGAGAGGGCCCACTCCCTCCCCCAGCAGCCCACTCCACTTAGGGAACTCTCTGCGGCTTCCCCACGCTGTGCCTAGGTCCGTGCTCCAGGCCGGCCCTGCTTCCAGGGCCGAGGATGGCTGCTTGCTCTGTGCCCATGAAGGCTTGCAGCAGGTACTTGATGATGATAAGCCCGGCCTTCCGATTTTTCAGGTGAAAGGAAGTCTCTGTTCCCGTCCCTCCCACCCTCACTCTGCCAAACACACCCTCCCACATCTCTCCCTTGCTCCAAACACCTTCCATGGCTCCCCAGTGCCTCCAGACATCCCTACATTGGTGCAGTCAGCTCCTGGCCTCATTTGTAAATGAGTTTCTAGGTCCCTTTTGGCTCTGACATTCTGGGCATCCTGATAAATCCAAGGCTTCCCTGGGGCTGTGTGGGGCCTCAGCTCCCCATCTGTCTCAGGCTGTGGGGCAGTGAGAGATGAAGCCGACATGTGCCTACAGCCCTCAGAGGTTCACGAAGCCTGTTGAGATGGATGGATGTGGGCACCAAGGCTCAGAATGCACTTCCTGCCCTGGCTTATCACAGTCCCCAGACCAGGGCTCAGGCGAAATTTCTGAGAAATGGGCCAGCTTTTACTACATGTGAGGTGATGGTGGGAGGGGGAGAATCTGTGTCCACCCAAAGGCCCTGCTTTTCTTGCCGTCTCTGGTGGGTCGGCCCTTCTTACTCAGCCTGTGTTCCAGGGGCTACCCCCCTTCCCTGCCCCCAGTCAGGGCTCCCTTCCTCAATGGCCCCAGGAAAAGGAGGAGACACAGCTTCCTGCCTCTGCCTGGCCCACAGGGACCAGTCAGGGATCAGTTTGGGGCCTGGGGAGGGGCTAGACAACTAGGCTGGGGGCAGAAGGGGGAGCCCTCCAGCTGAGGTCTGCCACTAGCACAGGCCTCTGGGCACACCATGGTGGACATGGCCCAGTCCTCCCCCTGTGCCTACCCCTGGTCTGGCTGGAACGTTGGCCTGGCCCACAGGCCGAGAGAGAGGCTGAGCTCCCTCTGCCTATCCCCAGGGCGGGCTGGGAGCTCCCTGAGGGCAGGAGCCTGAGGCCTAGTACAGAGGCCAGCCCACCCCCACCCCCAGCGCACAGCCACTCACAAGTCCGTGAAGCCGTCCAGTGTGTCATCGGGGGTGAAGACGTCCAGCAAGCCGATCACCTGGGGAAAGAGAACTGCCTGAGAGAGGGCAGGGACGGGCCTTTGTGCAGCTTTGAAGGTGCTGACCAAGCTCTCTCATTTGACCTTCACACCATCCTGGGAGGAAGGGGCCATTGTTATCCCCATTCTACTGATGAGGAAACTGAGGCAGCTAAGTGTCTAACGCATGGTCCTCCTGAGTCCGGTAATGGGTAGAAGGTGGGGAAGGAGCCCACCTCCTCACAGGAAGGGGTTACTTTTCCACTATTTACTCGCCAGAAAGACTGGAGGCTTCTCATCCGCCCAGCTGCCCAGCGCAGGAGGGCACAGGTGAACATCCGAACTGGACTGTGCCCAACAGAGCATGTTAGAGAGCTCTTCTGTACTTCTGAATCATGCATGCCCCCTTGGGCGCCCAACAGCATGGCTAATAAGTCACCCACACAGGGTTCCTGCGTCAGGAAACTCAGAGCTAGAAGAGGCCTGGGAGCGGAGACGGACGCCCGCCCAACTTCGTCCCACCTCGACCCTCCAGATTATCTGGCTCTGGCCTGGATAATGTCCTGGTCACGGGAAAACCTCGCCCCAACCCAGGGAGGGCCGATGTGACATCCTGCCTACCCTCACCCACTCTATCCATCTTCCAGGGGCTCCCGTGTGGCCTGAGGGATTGTATATACGTGACTAGGGAGGGGGCACGGAAATAGATGGGCCTGGGGAGACAGGCAAAGAAGGGGAAGAGGAGGCAGGGTCAGTAACATCTCTCCGCCCTCCCCACCCCAGCCCTTGGCAGGGGAAGCCCCAAGCATGCCTCCCCAAGCATCCGCTCAGCCCCTAATCCAGTCAGCCGCCCCAGCTGTCTCCTTGGCCCGAGCAGGCCACCCCTCCATTGTCTTCAGAGCCTCCGCTCGCTGGGCTCATGCATCTCCCAAGTCTGCCCCCTCCCAGGCTATTTTCAGCTGGTGACAGACCAGGACAGGACCTTCTGTGAGCTCATTCCCTCCCTGCACCCCCAGCCCAGTGACCAGGCCTCAGAATGAGAGCCTTCCTAGGAGGGCTCCAGGGGAAACCAGAGATAACCGAAAAGCTAATTCCCGGGGCCTGGAGCCAGCCACTGGACCCCTTGGTCATAGCCCCTTGGAGCTGGGACCTGGGGTGGTGTGTGCTCCAAACCCTCCCTTTATCCCCCCATCCTCCACCAGGATCCTATCAGCCTCTCTGTCTTTTGCCCTGTCCAGACCACATCTTCCCAGGATCCTCGAATCTTTGAGCTGGAAGGGCCCAGCCCTCAGAGGCCATGTAGCCCAACCCCAACCTTGGCAAGAACTTCTATTACCCACATACACCTCTAACCATCAGGCCTCTTGAGATCAGCTCCCGTGATGGGGAGCTCACTACCATTCCACAGCTGACCAGCTGTTTGTTGGGATATCTGCCCTAAGTTGGCCTGTGTCCCTACTTCTCCTCTGGGGCTGAGCCCCCTTCTCTATGACTACCTTCACTTTCCAGCCCCCACCCCACTCCCCATCGCATCTGTCCTCTGCCTTCCTCTAGCTTGGACAGTTATTAACAGGGGTCAGACTATGCATATATTTTGGCTAATGCCCACCAGTCCTGGGAGCTCTAGAGAAGTCGGTAAGAGCCAACTACACTGATGTTGTGGAGACCCTGGCCCAGCAAGGTGGGGTGATTGGCCCTGGGGGGGAAGGCCTGAGTCCAGTTCTGGGCATCGTGAGCCAGAGGGAAACCACAGGAGGGCAGACTGGAAATGAATGGAGCCCAAGGCCCAGGAGGATCAGCCTAGGGGGCTGGAGAAGCCTCAGGGGCCATGAGAGTGTCCAAGCATCTGCAGCGCTGCCCAAAGGGGAACAGGCTGTTTGGAGGGAGTGAGCTCCCCAACCCTGGAGGTCTTCAAGCAGAGACTAGGTGATTCCTTCTCAAGTATAGGCTGCCATGGCTGCCCTTCACAGTGCACAGAGCACTGGGCCTGGAGTCAGGAAGATTCGTCTTCCTGGGTTCAGATCTGGCCTCAGACACTTCCTAGCTTTGTGACCCTGGGTAAGTCACTTCACCCTGTTTACTTCAGCTTCCTCATCTGTAAAATGAGCGGGAGAAGGAAGTGGCAAACCGCCCAATATCTTTGCCAAGAAAACCCCAAATGGGGTCATGGAGAGCCTGACAGAACTGAAATGACTGAGCAATAACAAAAGCCTTCATGTTCTAGGGTTCCAGGTACGCAGAGCTGCCCAGGCCCCAGCCATGGGGCCGAGATGGCCTTTTCCTCTCCGCACTCAGGGCCGACGCTCAATTGTTCACTGCTCCCCCACCCCCTTTCCAGGCTCTTTGCACAGGGAGGGCTTCGAGTGCCAAGGCAGATGGTCAGCAGGGCAGACAGACGCTTCCAGAGTTCCAGAGACTCCAGGCAGGGGCTCAAGGAACAGAGGCCTTGTCAAACCTCAGGGAAGGTCTTCGAGTGGGGGCTCCCACCTCCTGGGGAGCCTCTAGCTCCCCTAGGGCCTTGCCTCTCAGCACCAGCACCATGGCCAGGTCCCCAGCCCAGGGGGTCCTGGGAGCACAGCAGGACCTTCCCACTGGGCTCAGTTCGATTCTGCTCCAGCCCCAGACTGATTCCATTGCGACAAGTCCTGGCCTGGTCTGAGGGAGCTGAACATAGAGAAGCAGTCCTGACATGTTAGACCACATCATTATTTGGGCACACGCCACTCTGTCCCGGCTTACAAACTGGACCAAGCCAATGCCAAGCCTGTGGACAGGAGAGGGCAGTGTCTGCCTGAGTCCTGAGGCTGGTCCTGGAGGGAGGGGTAATCTGCCAGCATAAACCCCCAACCCCTATCCCCAGTCCTGGGAAAGAGGCCCAGCCACAGGTAAGCCTCCCAGCGGGCACAGTCCAGTGTCAGCAGAATGAGACCATGGACTCACAGCTCTAGAATCACTAGAAATCATCTAACAACTTCATTTTACAGATGGGGAAACTAAGGCCCAGGGTGTGGAAGGCATTGCCCAAGGTTCCATACGGCAGTAAATAGCAAAGCCTGCTGGGTTCCTCCAGCGGAGCTCCCCAGAGGGTCAAATGTGTCTGTGGACAAGCTGGGTCTAGGGGGCATGACCTCCGGCAAAGTCAGGGGCCAAGGGCTGAGCAGACTGGGACAGCCAGGAGCTTGACTTAAAGAAAAAGGCCAGGGCATGCAGATTCATAGACATAAAGGGACACCCCCCCCCCCCCCAGGGATCTGGAGCTTCTGGAGACTTCCTTAAAGGAAGTTTGGGCTTCTGAGAGGCGGAGGGGAGGAGGGAAGCACTCCAGACATGGGGAGCAGCCTGGACAAAGGTCTGGAGATGAGAAATGGTACGGGGAGTAAGCCAGATTTTCTGGGCTATAGAATTTGGGAAAGAGAGTGGTGCGTGACAAGCCCAAGCCTCTGGTCTGCCTATTTCCTACCTGTTTCCATCTCCCTCTTCCTGTCCCAGTCTCTTTATCCCGTTTCTCTCAGCCACACAGACTCACCGGAGGAAGAAGGAGGGACAGATAGCTTAAGGCCCCCAGGCTAACTTGTTTCGCTGGTATGCTGGGTCTGCTGAGATTGCTGATGGACGTGGCAGCTGGGCTAAGATGGGCTGAACCTGGAGGAGGGGGCTGCCAGGCCTCTCTGGCCCCAGCACCCTCCTCACAGCAGGACCCGGTTCCAGAGTTCTATGCCCTCCTGACTCTGCCACAGATCCGAAGTCACTGCCTGCACCGAGCTTCAACCAGCGCTGGGAACTCTAGCCCTTGCCGGCTGTGGGACACAGACCAAATCACTTCTCTGTGAGCCTCGATTTGCTCATCTGAGAAATGCGGCTAAGAATGTCTGAATTACTTCCTCCCAATGGAGGTGGCTGTGAGGAAAGTCTGTATTTATCTGTGAACATGTAGCTTTTCTCAGTCGAATGTAAAAATCTCTGGACATCAGGGGCTATCTGTTTCTCCAGGGTCTACCACGCCTGGCACTAAGTAGCTACCTAATCAATGCTTGCAGATTGATTTGTAAGCCTCCAAAAGCCACAGAGGTGACTGGTCTCTTACACCATTATCAATCTCATTCCGTAAAATGTCAGAATTCAAGAGCTGTGGGTGCTGGGCCTCTCAGAAGGCATCTAGTCCAATTTCCTTCTAAGTGGAAGAATTCCTTCCACCATATCCTTGAGGAGTCAGCTAGCTTCTGACTGGACACTTGTGCAGATGGAGAACTCACTACCAGATGAGGCTGCCCCATCTGCTCATTTCAGGCAGCTTGAAATGTAAGAAGTTCAAATTACTCCACTGACTTCCTCTGCCCTGTGCGGTCAAGCAAAAGGACTCAAAGCATTTTTCTGCTTAGCAACTTGACACGTGGATACCTGATGACGGCTATCATGACCCACCCCCCGCTCCCAAGTCTTCTCTTCCTAGGGCAGCAGATGGATACAGCACCACTGGGTCTGGACTTAGGAAAACCTGAGTTCAAATCTAGCCTCAGGAGCTAGCTGTGTGACCCTGGGCAAGTCACTTAACCTCTGCTCATCTCAGTTCCCTCAACTGTAAAATGAGTATAATAACAATACCTACCTTGAAAGGTGGTCGTAAGGATCAAATGAGAAAGTATGTGTAAAGTGCTTAGCACGGTGCCTGGCACATAGTAGGTGCTCTATAAATGTTCATTCCTCTCCCACCCCTTCTCAATGTTAAATATTCCCCATTTCTTCAGCAAAGGATGATCACCCACTCCCTTGCCATCTTAAGTCACCCTGTCCTGTTAATGTCCCTCCTGAAATGCATTGATCAGGACCAGACACAATACTCCAGATGATGAAATAGGTCCAGAGAGGGGAGGTCACTTGGCTAGGGTCACACAGTGCTAGACCATGGTGGAGCATCCCTCCAGCCAGCTACAGCCAGATCTCCCCTGCAGAGGATGACGAGGGGATCGGGTGAGGCAGCCCTGTCTGGGTATGTGAACCAACCCAGGGCCAACCTTAGCAGCCTCCTGCCTCCAGAAAAGTGGGCACTGAGGAGTGGAGGGGGAGAGGGGAGACAGGGAAGGAAGATCAGACTTCAAATGTGCCCTCTCCCCTGGCCCAGGTATTGCCCTCCCCTCCCCCCAGATCAGACGTTGTAATGGGAGGCATGGAATGGCACCACTCCCTGTGCAGTCTTCCTTCCTGGTGGTTTTTCCACTCCATCCCTTCCTCACCACCACCTCAAGTCTGGGCCCCCATCACTCACGGCTTCCCTGGACCAACGGAACAGCATCCTTGCTGGTCCCTCTACTTTCCATGTCCCCCCCAGTCCATCCTTCAAACTGCTGCCAAAATACTCTAACTGGGACCCCGCCACAAGAGCCCTGCTCTCTTGCCCAACAACCTCCCTGGAGATGAGTCGTGCTCAGCTAACCCTAAACTGCAGCCTGCCTTTCCAAGCTTGGCTTAACCTGTTGCCTAAACATTCTCTGGTTGTGAGTAGGGTTCTGGGCTCGAACCAGGAAGATGTTGGTTCAAATGGGACCTCTTGGAGACTCAGTTTCCCCATTTGAATAATGGAGATGACACCCTGCTTCTTACCTCACCGAGTGGTTGTAAGATGATGATAATAATAACAATAACAACTCACATCTATATCAAACTGTAAGGTTTGCAAAGCACGTTATCTCATTTGGGCAGCACAACTTTGTGAGGTAGGTTCTATTATCCTCCCCAGCTAGGTGGTACAGTGGATAGAGCCTGGCATCAGGAGGACACGAGTTCAAATTTGGCTGCAGATACTGCAGATAGCTGGGTGACTCAGGGCAGGTCATTTAACCTCTGTCTGCCTCAGTTTCCTCAACTGTAAAATGGGGATAATAATAGCATTTACCTCCCAGGGCTGTTATGAGGATCAAACGAGATAATATTTGTGAAGCACTTAGCACAATGCCTGGCACATAGTAGGCAATTAATAAATACTTGCTCCCTTCCCTGAGGGAGGGTCCCTGAGCCTGAGATAGGTTAAGTGACTTGCTCAATATGTGTGTAAAGTACTTTATAAATGTCATAGCATTGTAGAAACACAGTTATTTTTGTGCCTCTCAGACACATTCCATGTTCTCCTTCCTCTGATCACAACATTCCCCTGCCTTGAATGTCATTCTTCCTTCTTTGCCTATAGAGTTCCAACTCATGCTTTAAAGCCAAACTCAGATGCCACTTCCTCCAGGAAGCCTTCCTCGATATCCTCAGACCAGCCAGGAGCTATTCCATCAGGCCATATAGACCTCTCAGAAGTCTGCCTTTATCACACATAAATGATGTCATAATACCGTCTATGAGACTGTGAGCTACCTGAGGACAAGTTCAGGGTTTTTTCTAAAATTTCTCTTCTCTTGCACAGCAAGGGTATGCTGCAGATTCCTACTAAATGTTTCATATTTTTGAAGGGGCAAACCTGGGCATCTGCCCTGAGGGAGCTCACCTAGGAGGAAGGGGCAGAAGAAGGACATCCTGGGGTCCTGAGCATCTGCCCTTAGGGAGCTCACCTAGGAGGAAGGGGCAGAAGAAGGACATCCCAGGGTCCTGGGCATCTGCCCTCAGGGAGTTTCCAGTCTAGCAGAGGGAGAAGACACTGGAATATCACAACATTCTAGGATGAACTCATTAGCTGAGTGGTGGGGTGGGGTGGGGTGGGGTGGGGTGCGGTGGGGGTCTAGTTAACCACAGTTAGTCCCAGGGCACTGGGGACCATGAGGCATTCAGGCTCCCCAAGTCTCAGTGATGAGTTTGCCCAGTGGCCCCTTAGCATGGGGGCCATCATTGGCGGGCAGGGCCGGGACCCATAATCCTGAAGCACAGTAGGGGACAGACTTAAAGGGCTGGGAGCGTATGTGCAGCAGGGGAGGGGGGCATTTGAGGCACAGACTCTAGGCCTTTGCTCTCCCCCTCCACCCACCATTACTTGTACCCCAGAGGACACCTGCCAGGAGCTCCCATCCTGCCGGCTCTGCTCACATCCTCAAAGACCACTGGAGGCTGAATTACAAGGAAAGGTCACCCCACCGCCTCCCCAGATAATCTGTTCTCTCAGATAAAAAAGAACGGAAGGATCTGGTCAGGAACTTCTCCCAGGCCCCGAGTCCTCTGCTGCCTCCGAAATGGGGGGCAGTGCCTGCCCCATCTTTCCTGTGGGCCTGTACGTTGGGGGGTGGGCAGGCCGGCCCAGGGCCTGTTGGCAGCAGCCAGCAAGCAGCTAGTAGAGCGTGCTGAGGGCCCCCTCCCCCGGGAAGCTGGCGAGCAGTCTGCTGGGCAGGCGAGCGGGCAGTTGCCGGGCTCACTCACGTTCTCGTGCCGCATGTGTTTGAGCAGCCGCAGCTCCCGGTACGCGCGCTTGGCGAACAGCTCCGACTGGAAGGGGCGGTACAGTTTCTTGATAGCCACCTTGGTGCCCGTCCTGCTGTCAATAGCCGAGCTGGAGGCCAGACACCCAAGCGCTCAAACACTCCCGCTGGTGAGGCGGGGGTGGGGGGGTGGGGAGGGTGGGGAGTGGGGAGGGCCCCGCCAGGACCAGCCCGGAGCGGGGAAGACGGGGGTCCCCTCCTTTTCTTCCACACACGTGCATTCTGCCGCCCCTCCCCGGGGGGCACCTCCCCGGGGGGCACCTCCCCGGGGGGCACCTCCCGCGGCCGCCTTCTGGGAACGACGAGACAGTCAAGGTCCCCGGGGCCCATCCTCAGGGGCCACGACTGGGTCCCATGAAGGTGAGGCCCCATCTGAACACCCCTTCCCCAGTCACTCGGCCCAGTCCGTGTTCTCCCTGCCGACTCACCACACGGCCCCGTAAGCCCCAGAGCCCACGGGCTGCAGGTCCCGGTAGAGTTCGCGCACCTCCCACTCAGTCTTAGTGACCTCCTGGCGGTAAAAGCCCTTCCGGGGGGGCGGAGGGGAGCTCATGGCGGCCGGAGGGGGTGCCGCGGAGGTCGCTGAACCCCTGTGTTCACACGCACTCACACTCACTTTCGGACACACTCGCGCGCATGCACAGACACATACACAAACACTACACCCCCACAAAGGGCTAACTCGCCAGGGTATTCCCCCACCACCAAGGAGAGGCGAGAGGCTGGGGCTGCCCCCCCGTAGCCCCGCCCTGGACCCCCGAGAGTTAAGGGGGTCACTCCCTCACTCTGTCCCGGGGTCTCTTCTCTTCCCCTTGCGCCCACTTTCCTCTCTCTCTCTCTCTCTCTCTCTCTCTCTCTCTCTCTCTCTCTCTC